TGTATGTGTGTGTGTGTCAGAGTGCGAGAGAGAGAGAGAGAGAGAGAGAGAATAAGATAAAAAGAGACAGTAAGCATGTTTATGTTGGGGGTTGCAATTAGTAGCTCCTCCTTATTTTCCTTTTCTTTGTAATTTCCAAGCTTTAGAAACCACTCTATTATTATTCACAATAACCTGAAAGCACATTACTAAACATGTATCAACTCAGGCCTGTCTAAAATATATATATTAATTCAAATTCATTTAATATGAACTTAGAGGAATGTTTAAAACATATTTTTATTCATTGGTAGGGGAAGTTGCTTTTACAGTAGCAAATATGTGACTTCAGAGATGTCCTGCTTAAAATATGGTGATTTTTTTTTTTTTTTTTAATTTAGAGTCAGGGTCTTGCTCTGTCATCCAGATTGCAGTGCAGGGGCGTGATTATGGATCACTGCAGTCTTGACCTCCTGGGTTCAAGTGATCCTCCTGCCTCAGTTTCCCAAAGAATTGGGATTATAGGCATGAGCCACACCATGCCTGGCTCAAATATGGTTTGGATGGCACACCCAATTTCTGGTGCAATTTTCTAGAGGTAAGTCTGGCAATACACTTGAAAAGGCTTACGAATGTAAACATTCTTTAAGACAACAATTCCACCTTAGGCATTTATCCTGTAGAAAGAATCTGAGATATTTGCACAGGTATAAAAAGGATATTAGCCATAATGCTCGATATAATAAAAATTGTGAAATAATCTTAATATTGAGCAATTTAGAATTGTGTTGGTAAATTTGGTATAGACACAGAAGAGAGTATTAGTCAGTCATTAGAAAAATCACTCTGTAGAAGAATATTTAAACACATGAAAATATTGTAAAGATAGTTTTAAGGGAAAATAGCAGGCCATAAAATGGTAGCATGTTTTTATCTGTGCATGGTTTAAAAGAAAAGAGAGAGGCCGGGCGTGGTGGCTCATGCCTGTAATCCCAACACTTTGGGAGGCCACAGTGGGCGGAATACTTGAGGCCACAAGTTTGAGACCAGCCTGGTCAACATAGTGAAGCCCCATTTCTACTAAAAATACAAAAAACTAGCCAAGCGTGGTTGCATATTCCTGTAATCCCAGCTACTTGGGAGACTGAGTCATGGGAATCACTAGAACTCAGGAGGGGGAGGTTGCAGTGAGCTGAGACTGCACTCTGTCTCAAAAAACAAATAGTTCAAAAAATAAAAAAATAAGATAGAACCTTGACACACACACACACACACACACACACCCCCCACAAGAGAAAGACAGAAAGCGTATAAACCAAATTTATATTAGTGATTATCTCTGAGTCATTGGATTGTGGATATTTTTTCTTTTGTTGTTTGTACTGTGTGCTTTCGAAATTTTTCTTGATGTGTATAGAGTACCTTTGTAATTTTAAAAAGGACAATGTAAAGAAACAATCCATCCTTAGTCTCACCGTTCTATTTCTTAAATATCCCTTAAACTAAGTTGGTATTTTCTTTATACCTGCAAGCAAAGCTTTTAAGCATATATTGATATTCCACATGGGCATCCAAGAGATTGATGACTTCCGGGGCTGGCTCCATTCACGCAGGTAGATCAGTCTCTTTATGAATGCCTGTGTCTAACAGGCCTGACCTTTCTGGAAGTGGGCACTGATGTGATATGGTTTGAAAGGTGTGAGAATGTTCCCCTTGGCCCCTCAAAGTTCCTTCCTCACAGCTCAGAACTTACGGCTGATGTTCTACCACCTCAGGCTTACAGATTTTCACACTAATAAAATGCAAATAACCCAGGAGAAGTGCACATTAAACTTTACCTATCACCTGGGTTAAACGAGTATATCATTTTCTGAAAATAGGTTTTAATGGGTAAGACATGGGAATTCAGAGGGGGAGTCAGAGAGAAGAAAATATGAATGAATGGGAATTCAGAGGGGGAGTCAGAGAGAAGAAAATATGTCAGAGGGGGAGTCAGAGAGAAGAAAATATGAACGAATATTCCTGGTGTCAGAGGAGTAATTAATATTCATAATAGTACTATTTTTTAATTTATGGTTTATGAGTAGCTTAGGAATATGTTATCACATTTAATCTCAATTAAATCAAATAGAATGGCTGTCACCAAGGCAAGTTAAGTAGACCAGAGATTTGGAAAGATGCAGAAGACAAAATCTGTAGCCTTTATCATTTTTCTAGAGCCGTTCCTAAAAGCCACGATCTCACTCCTTTAGATAAACTGCTTTAACTTATCCCTTTTTCTTGGCAACTCCAAAGCATTGTGAAACTGTGTCCAAATAACTAGACCGCAGGCGGATAACAAAGTTAGAGCCAGTTCAGAAAATAAGATACTTCTTAATCTATTATCAATGTATGACAAAAACACAGGACCAACACCTTCCAGGAAATTTTGTTCAAAAGACAACAGCCAACTGAAGACACACATGACAGCATCTACTCAAATACTTTAAAGTATTTGTGAGCGTGGATCTTTTTATTAACCCATGGAAAATGGAAAAGAAAGGAAATGATCAGAAAATGGCAATGAAAGAATGTGGCAGAAGAATGGAGATCATACAGAATTACCTCCTCTCTATAAAATACATAAATTAAGTAAAATTACAGTGTGATGCTTAAAAACACAGACTCTGGGGCCAACTTCTTGGGTTTGAATCCTGGCTCTCTCATCTACTAGCTGTGTGAATGTGTGCCTCAATTTCTTCATCATTGAAATAGGTATAATAATGGTACCTACCTTAAGGGATTGCTATAAGGATTAAACTAGTTAAAATCTGTAACATTGCTAGGCACAAAGTGATTGCCTTAAAATGATGGACAAACCCTCATACATACTCACATATGACCATAAGGAAATATATCAGAATGCTAACAGATGTTAACTCCATGTGGTAAAGTATGGCTTTTTAAATACCAAAAAACTCAACACATATACTTTTATAATCAAATAAAAAGTGGTATAAATTAATATTAATCAGAGGAAAACAGGTGCTTGCCAATTTAATATGTATTATTGTATAAATATGATTCTCTAATACTCAAACTCTCAGTTAACTAAGGTTATTTCTCTTAGTATTAATTATAAAAACATAATTAATAAAATGGTAGAACCAGTAAATAAAAAGAATGACTAGAGGTCAAGGACAAAAGGAGAATACAAGGCTCACGAATGTAGTCCCAGCACTTTGGGAGGCCAAGGTGAGTGGATCACTTGAGATCAGGAGCTCGAGACCAGCCTGATCAACATGGTGAAGCCTTGTCTCTACTAAAAAATACAAAAGTTATCCGGGCCTGGTGGTGTACGCCTGTAGTCCCAGCTACTCACGAGGCTGAGGCAGGAGAGTTGTTTGAACCTGGGAGGCGGAGGTTGCAGTGAGCCAAGATCACACCACTGCACTCCAGCCTGGGCAACAGAATGAGGCTCCCTCTCAAAAAAAAAAAAAAAAAAAAAAATACAAATAGTTAGGGAAAAGGGAATACCCATAGGCTGAGGTTTCAAATTTGGAGGCAAAGTATTTATTTATTTATTTATTTATTATTGGTACATAAAATTTTACATATTTATGAGGTAACATGATATTTTACTAGCATAGAATACATAATGATCAAGTCAGGGTATTTGAGGCGTCCATCACCTTGAGTATTTGTCATTTCTATGTTTTGGGAACAATTCAAGCCCTTTCTTCTTGATACTTTGAAATATACAACACATTGTCGTTAACTATAGTCACTCTATTCTGCTGTCAAATGATATAACTTATTCCTTCTATCTAACTGGATGTTTGTACCCATTAACCAACCTCTCTTTATCTCCCCCTCTACCCACACACCTTTCCCAGCCACTAGTATCCATCATTCTAGTCTATGTTTATGAGATCAATTTTTTTTTAGCTTCCACAAGAGTAAGAACATGTGATTTTTGTCTTTCTGTGCCGGGGTTGTTTCACTTAACATAATGACCTCCAGTCCCATCCATGTTGCTGTGAATGACATAGTTTCATTCTTGCAGTGTTTCATTGTGTATAGATACCACATATTCTTTATCCATTCATCTGTTGATATACACTTAGGTTGATTTCACATCTTTGCTGTTGTAAACAGTGCTGCGATAAGCATACAAGTGCAGGTACCCTTTTGATACACTGATTTCTTAGCTTTGGGATAGATAACCAGTAGTGGGATTGCCAGATGGTAAGGTAGTTCTATTTATAGTTTCTTGAGAAATCTTCATACTGTTACTAATTTACTGTTACATTTTCACCAACACCGTAAAAGAGTTCCCTTTCTTCACATTCTCACCAGAATCTGTTATTTTTTGTCTTTTGAATAATAGCCATTCTAATTGGGGTAAGATGATATATCATGTGGTCTTGATTTGCATTTCCCTGGTGATTAGTGATGTTGAGCATTTTTTCATATACCTGTTGGCCATTTGTATGCCTTCTTTTGAGAATTGTCATTTATTTCATAAGGCAGGGAATATTTAATGAATTATTTAGAGATAAAGAATTACAGAATCACAGTAACACATATTGAATGATCATATTATAATTACATGATATCATAATTATTAGCTTTATGAACTGAACTGATAGGCAGAAATTAAAAACTCAAAGGTATGTGTTTGCTTCAGCAGCCCATATACTAACATTGGAATGATACAGAGAATATTAGCATGGCTCCTGAGCAAAGTGTTCCATACTTTTCAAAAAGACTCAAAATTATTAATGAAGTTAACATTTGAGAATATATTGCAGGAAACAATTATGCATTAGCTGAAGACTGGGCAAAATAATCCAGTTGGGCTTCTTCTTCCTACCCTTCTAAATTTATCAACCAAGTTATATTTCAGGATGATTTATGCTTCTACTACATCTGACAGAGATTATTATAATTCAACTCTTAATTCTTTTGTTTTTTCAACTGTTAATTCTTATTAATCAAGATGCAATAAAGTTAAGTGATAAAAGCTGAAAATGACTTACTGGAAAGAAAGTGCTGAGACGCTGGGCCAAAGTCCCTGTGAGCTTCATGCAGCTGCCTGACTCGGTCCTCCACGGCCACCTGGGAGGAAAAGGAGAGAAATGATGTTCTCTCATTCTATATAATGAGGAACAATTAAAATAATGTATCCTTTCTGATAAGATACTTTGAGTCTCCAAGGCTGACAACACCAAAGCAACAATTCATAGCCCTAGTTTTAATATCCACTTACCGTATATAGTATCCCAGACTCGTTTTTATCAATCCAAGGCCAAACACAAAGGATTTCCTCTCTCAACAATGTTAAAATAAGATTTTTTTTTTTTTTTTTTTTTTTGACAGTCAGCTCATTGGCAGCGACAAATGTACTACTGCCGGAATTAGTACCATAAAAAAATACAAATCTTTACTTTCACAGAAACATTAGGGAGGGTGCCATTTGGTATAGGTGACTACAGAATCTCAGAAATTGACATGTCTGTCTTTAAGTCTTAGTCTATTGTTTTGACAAATTTTTAAAGAAGTATATATTGATGAATAGGTAATAAACCATTGAGTGATATTTAATTATTGATATATTAGCAATTAACTAATAGTTTATTAATATTTAATTATGGACTGGGCACAGTGACTCATGCCTGTAATTCCCAGCACTTTGGGAGGCCAAGCAGGCAGATCACTTGAGGTCAGAAGTTCGAGACCAGCCTGGCCAATATGGTGAAACCCTGTCCTTACTACAAATACAAAAAATTAGTCGGTGGTGTGGTGGTGCACGCCTGTAGTCCCAGCTCCTCAGGGGCTGAGGCAGGAGGGAGCCACAGTGAGCAGAGATCGTGCCACTGCACTCCAGCCTGGTGCGACAGATGAAACTCCATCTCAAAAAAAAAAAAAAAATTAATTAAATATCAAAGAAGTACAGGCAAGGTTTAAATTTGGGATAAAACAGGGTGGATAGGAAGATAAAACTAATTTTCAGATTTCAGTTTTCAGTGGTCTTGGAAATTATTGAGAAATATACCTTTAGGTGGCATGCAGTGAAAACCGCCATTCTTTTTTTCCTATTAGGTTTTTCTATAATATATTGACACAGTGTGCTGTCAACTTAGTGAATTCTATTCTTAGGGGGGAAAAAGGAATAATTTTATGGGTGAAATACTATACTTAGTCATTTGGCATTTTGCCAATCCAATATAAGTGGTAGCTCTAGGCATCCTAGCTCTCTAACTCTGGATTTTGATTTGGTTGTGAACAGTCCATGCTAAACTAGGGGTCAATCAGAGCTTGCATAGAGCAATCGGAACTCAGGGGATAGTTCCTGTGGTGTGCAGAATTCGCAAGAGGTAAAAATCGATGTTAATCTCATCAGAAAAGTGGCTCAGGTAGTCTGGTCTCAAACCAACTCTGGCCTTCCAATATCAATTAAGTGCCTAGTGTATATCCAGAACAATCTCATTTTTTTCACTCTCCCTAGCCTTGCCCATTTTTGCTTGGCCCAAATACGTGGATAACCAAGTGGAGTTCCCCTAAAATGCAGGATTTGCTTTATTTTATCTACACAAAAGCATGAGGGACATATGAAACCTTCCTTCCCAACCTTATGACCCTGCGCTCCCAAACTCTACCTGCTAAGCCCACCAAAACTACCTGCCTATCCTGCACTATTCCATCCAATGTAACTCTTGTGTGTGGCTTCTTCATGCTGCTCCTTCTCTCGGCAATGCTCTTACCCGACTTCTCTCCCAGATCAATGCTGTGAGTGTTTATATGCTTACTTCCCCATCTCCCGGGTTAGAATTAATGGTTTCCTCAGCATTCTAACAGTATATGGTTTATACTTGAAGCACTTCTATCATACAATTCATTTGAATTATATGGACATGTCTCTTGCAATAGATTGTAAACTTCTTGATAGCAGGGACCATTTTTTGTTTACCTTTGTCTTTGAATGTCTCCAACCCTTTCTGCAGGAGGCACAGAACCCTGCACATAGAAAATGGTAGCAAATATTTGTTTAATGACTAGTTGACCAAACAAACGGATAAATGAGTAAATGTAGTACGTGTGTGTGTGTGTGTGTGTGTGTGTGTATGTGAGACAGAGAGAGAGAGAGAGAAGAGAAGAGATGCAGAACAAACAAGAATACCTACTCACACTGACTGCACTGACTGCAGGTCTGTAATGGTTAATTCTGTGTCAAGTTGACTAGACTATGGGGTGCCCAGGCAAACCACTATTTCTGGGTGTGTCTGGGTGTGTCTTGTGCAGACAAGATTAGCATTTAGTTCAGCGGATTCAGTAGATTGCCCTCCGCAATGTGGGTGGGCATCATCCTATCAGTTGAGGTCCTAAACAGAACAAAAAGGCATGTTCCTTTTTTCCCTGCAGGCCTGCTTGAGCTGGGATGTCAGTCTTCCCCTGCCCTTGGACTGGGATTTACATCATCAACTCCTCTGGTTCTCAGGCTTTCAGACTGAGACTGAAATTACACTATCAATTTTCCTGGCTCTCTAACTTGCAGACAGCAGGTCATGGGACTTCTTAGTTTCCAACTGCATGAGATAATACTTGATTTTATATATCCACACACACATATACATACATATATACACACATACACACATACACATACGTACATACATATGTATATTGTTGCTTCTATTTCTCTGGAGAACCTTGACTAATCAATGTCCCTGGGTAAATTATTCTTAACTTTCCTTATCAGTAAAATGTGGACAGTAATATAACTTATAGAGTTCTGTGGGAATTAAATAAGATGATACATGTAAAGCACTTAGCCTAGTTTCTATCATGTAGTAATTGCTCAATAAATGTCACCAGCTACTGTTCTTGCTGCTATTATGGTAAACAAAAGGAGAGGAATAGGCCAGGCGTGGTGACTCACACCTGTAATCCCAGCACTTTGGGAGGCCGAGGCAGGTGGATCACTTGAGGTCAGGAGTTCACAACCAGTCTGGCCAACATGATGAAATCCCGTCTCTACTAAAAATACAAAAATTAGCTGGGTGTGGTGGTGAGCATCTGTAATCCCAGCCACTCAGGAAGCTGAGGCAGGAGAATTGCTTGACACTGAGAGGTGGAGGTTGCAGTGCACCGAGATCATGTCACTGCACTCCAGCCTGGGCGACAGAACAAGACTCCATCTCAAAAAAAAAAAAAAAAAAAAAAAAAGGAAAACAGGAGAGCAATAGTCTATAATGTGCAGGGTACCACATACAATACAAAAATGGCTAATATTTATTAAGCAATACATGCATGACAATATGAATTATGTTATTTCATCTTTACAGTAACTCTGCAATAGGAGTTAATATTATTCCCCCCACTTCATTGATGTGAAAACTGAGGCATGAGAGGTTAAAAAAAAAAAAAACAACTTGCCTAAGCTTCAGTAGTTAGTAAATTGGCAGAGCTCAGATTCAAACTCATTCAGTCTGGGTCTTGCTCTTAACTGTTATCCTGAAGATTAAAGTTGAAAAAAAGTATTTTATAAATACTTAATAAGTAATTTGCTTTTTAATTTCTTTATTTTCAATCAGTTTATTGAATGCAGACCAATTCTAGTGTGCATATCTATGAAACTTCAGTTGTTCAATGTATTTTATGGCCCAATGTATTTTATGGCCCAATGCAAGGTCAATTCCTGGTCTTGAAGAATGTGATATCATAAGATCACAGAGAAAGGTTGTGGAAAAATGCATGCAAATAAATGTTTGGCATATGTCATTATTTCTAAATTTAGAATGGGTCATTCCATAAATAAATCAATCTAGAGATAAATGTGAGTGTTTTGGGGTAGGGAGGAGAAGATGAGGATGCCATATGGGAGTGGACACTGATCAGAAATCTTTTCACCTACTGAGAAAGAAATCTCAAGGAGAAGATGTAGATAGTAAAGGAATATGACCGTGCCATAGGCCACTTTCTCTAGTAAGAATGTTAGTTTCATAGGGACTGAGCCGATGCAGCATCAAAGTTCATTCTAGACTCCCAATCTCTGAAGAATTTTGCCTTCTTATACAAGGAGAGCTCCAGTGGTAGTTTCCAGTGTACACTCAATATTGTCAAGATTTAAAAATGAGATCAAAGTGAATTTCCATCTTCATAACTCAAATTTAAGAGAAGGCATGACAGTGAGAAGAATTAAGCATAAAATATTTCTTTCCACAAATTATCATTGGAGAAAAGTTTTGTGTGGATTGAATGCACAACTGGCTAAATAAAGAAATAAATTTATGAAGGAGAAAATCTTGAAAGCAACCAAGGTCCTCGAAAGCTTTAGCTTGAGACTTAGGAACGAAGCACTTTATTCTGTGAGCAATTATGCAAGGAAATGAAATTTGATAATCTATTAAAATGAGAGCCTCCATGCATTAGATCTTTCTAACTGGCTGTATTTTAAATCAATATAACCATAGTATATACAAAACAGGAAGCAAAAGCCAGAAATTATATACCTGTATCTTATGTTATGGCACAATCAGTTCTTTCCTTGGTGGTTTATTCATTATATAAGTATTTGTTAATATTGAAAGAGATAGTCAAAAAACAAATGCTATAGTCCCTGATCTCTGCAAGTGTAAAGGTTTGGAGGTAAGAAATAGTGACAAGCTGAAGAAAGGCTTGGGGCTGCAGAACAGTGGTGTTGAGGACGACAGTGAGATATAATTAGTTAGTCATGTTGAAAGCAGATGATGCAAAGCAAGGTGTTCCGGACTCTGAGGTTCAAGATTTACCCTGCAGGCAAAGAGAACCACTGAAAATTTCTGTGACATGACTCACTATTTTAGAGGAAAGTTAGGGTTTGGGAAGATCGGTATGGTGTAAAACAGATTCGAAAGGGCACCTGAGACTGAGATCAGAAAGAGGCTGCTGTAATTTACTAGACTTGGGGTGATATGCATTAGAATTAAGGCTGTATTGTATTGAATGTAAAAGAAGGTACATGTTAGAAGGATTTTGAAAGCAGGAAGAACTATCCAATTTGGTGCTGGAGATTAATTTCTGAAGAAGCAAATAAACTCTTGGATTTCCAGTAAGGAAGACTGGGAGAATGAAGATAT